ATGGACTGAAAAAGGCTTAAAATTTACTTTAAATTTATGTGATTTTCAATTTGAAAGTTAAAAGTTTTTCCAATGAATTAATTTATTTAAATTCAGGCCCAGAAGTTTTACAACAAATAATTAGCTGTACATTAATCTCCAGAAAACTAATCATATATTAAGTCATAATTTCGTGTCATTTATGTCAAAAAATTCAATAAGTCGTTAAAATTATTTTCAATTTGATACCAATATAAGAAATTAATTGATTAAATGTATGCATAAGTAGTTTCCGTTTGGCATCAAATGTAACGTCAATTGAAAAGTGTGTAAATAAATAAATTTAAATAAAAATACATATAATTGAGTGGAAATGGATATGAGGGGCCTTTCGTGTCCATTGACTCATATTAACGCATATCTACTGTAATGTAAAGTTAGACAGAAGTAAAGGAGGAAGTATTAGATATGTTTGAAGTATTACTTCATTTGGATTACATTGACGTAATTCAGTCTTAAGATCCAAACAGAGATTATATATTTCTCTACAATTATTGATATTCAATATCATGAGCTTAATACTGTTAGACTCAAATATAATGTATGTACAGTACAATACAACTCATTTAGTATTAGACGTCAACTAATAACTGATTTAAAATAAATATCTGATTTGAGAAAAAATTAAAATCATTATAAATTATATTCATTGACGGAATACTAATCGCGACAAATATATTGTGTTTAACTTGAATGCAATTCTTGGAAATGCAATGATTAGTGAAAAATGGTTGCTGTCTGACAGTGTCTGTACTACAGAGTCTGTAGTCATATTCGCAATGATTAGTAGTTTTGTGTATATTTTCGTACAATTAGTCGTGTATTTCATAAAAAGTGATATAATATTCCCTAATCTAAATATACAAGTGTTTGAAAGGAAACACTTAGACAGTGGGAGATATAATGACATAATTGTAATCAGTGGTGAATATATAAAAGTTATTCGATTTTAAGTCCCGAAGCGATTTAAAGTGAAGTTTGTGTAAAAGATTGAATGAGTTGTGGCTCTGATAGTAGTGGTCGTCGTCTTGTTTTGGTGACACAGCACAGGACTCGGGAGAGGGAAGGGAGGGGGAGGGAGAGAGTTAAGAGTTGGTTTGATTGCTATAATCCATAGTTAGCAGTGAATGAGGGGTAGACTGGGTTGGTATGGTATGGAATTGTATGGTTTGTGTGTAGTTTCCTTGAAGAGTGAAATCCAAACAGATTTGTTGTCATCCAATAGAATGAGTTTAAGCAAAGATAACGCTTAAAACCAGGACTTTCTGAGCATAACTCGGATTGAAAGGCAATACAAATGTATATCTGTTTGATTTGGTGTTATATTGGGTTATATCTCTCACGTAAACACCAATTCATTGCAATAGTGGTGGTGTTGGGCCTGTCCTTCATGTCCTCCAAACATAGTTTTGATTATTATCTCATATCAAACAATGGGACATTCAGTGAATGAAAGCTCACTTGAAATCCTTAATCCCTATAACAAAACCTCACCAAACCGTACATACATTGGGAGATTGGTTGGGGGAATGAACCCCATAGACAGAGCTAACAGTGCCAACACATGGACTCTGCACTCTCTGATATGTAAAAGTATTAAAAAGCTTTCAGACTTCATGCCATCGCATAACTCTCACAGATTAAGGACTACAGTATTGCCAATGCATTGCTCTCTAAAACATTGGGTACTGTATTGTATAACAAATACATAATACACTTCTTTAGTATTAGTCGAAAGTCTTTGCCATATCATAGCTTTCATATAAGTTTCAAATCATATTCAAAGTCACACATATGAACGCGCATACATTACACCAAAAATTATTATTCACTCCAAAGTGAAGCTTAAGATAGAGATAATTTCCACAACACATCCAATACTATAGTCTATAATACTTTCAATAAAGCAAAGCATAGCTCACTCTCACTCCAAATGATGTGTATATATATAAAAAAGTAAAGAATTTCTATTTTTTGCTTTATTCTCTAAAAACTTTTTTATACCGTATAATAAGAGAAGCAAAACTTAAAAAGAGATAAGACATTGACTATAGTGTATGGTGTATGTGTCGGTGCTGTCGGGGTGTATGTGTTGTCAAATGGTAATCTCTGTTCGATCATTGTGTGTATGTCTTGTCTGTGACGGGTCGTCGTCTAAATCCTATGCTTGGGATTAAGTGCTGGCAGTACTGGAAATGCAATTATCTTTGAGCGTACATTTCATTTCCGAAGGATTACTCTCGTTATACACTCTCGCAGTCATCTCTGCTATAGTGTACAGCATTTGCTACTCTTTTCACTCATTTTTTACTCTCATTTTGCTCTCATATATAAACCGTTTGACAGAATTTTAGTTTAGTTTAGTTTTGTGTCTTTCATTCTCTCATTCATTCACTCATTCAGTCATCCATTCGTTGCTTTTAATATATAAACGGCGAGAGATTTAAACAATATTTTCTCTCTTTATGACTATATCTTATGTGTGATTCGCTTCTCTAATCTTTGGCTCATTGTGTGCCACTCATAGACATAGCACTGCCAGCACTGGTAGCTCGTCGTCTGCACTCCGAGCGCTGCTAATATGCATGAAATGAAATATTATTGGAATATAAGATAATATAAGTATAGTTTGATATATGAGACACACATTGAATAAAAATTGCAAACTTTTTTTGAAATGGGATTTGAAAGACAAATATTTGGCTTCAAATATATGATAAAATAAGAATTGAGTGAATGAATGAGAAATTTCTCTCTCTTTTAGTTAATATTTCTTTTATTATATTCGCTTCTCATTCACATAATATCGTTAGCGATCTAAAAGTTATTTTACTTTTAATATTTGTATAAATATTATGAACTCGTATGCACTGTAGTATACAGTATACTGTACGACAATATTGTATGTATTGATTATTTGAGTGTTGATGTGTTTTATGGCTAGTTTTAAGTATTGCTATAACTTATAGTTGTTTTGTCTCTTATTTCGTCAATGCGTTTGTATTGCGGCTATGAATTGCTTTTCACGCGCAGGCAGTCAAGTGAGAAGCCGCCAGATTTGGCCTTTTATTTCGCCTATTCTTTGCCACCACTTACTCCACTACCCAATACATACATACCTCCCATTCCCCTCTCCTTTTCCTTCTGATCTCCGCTCAAGTTTTAGTCGACAAATACATTAATAACGACTAAACTGAACTCAAGCCTTAAATATCAATCGCTTAAGACTTAATTCATACACTCTTTTATTAACTGGACGTCTATTCATCCGGTCTGTCGGCCAACACTTTAATGAAGTTTTGTTGCGAGTATATTATGTCACGTGATATGCGATTCCTGATAAAAGGGTTGTGTTTTTGTAGTCACTTTAGTCGAGATGTTTCACATGTCCTCTAATTTCGCGAATCTATGCTAAGAATGAGTCGAAAGCACTACTAATTCATTGCTAATTATCCTTTGATTGCATTTGTTTCGCATCAATGCCTACAGACTTGTATATCAACAATGAATACACAATTGAGTCTTAGATTGAAAAACATTTTTTGCAATAAAAAGGGAATTATGATGGAAACAAAAAAAGAGAGTTATGAATGGGCGCACTGGTAGTATAGCTGGTATTTGGCCGGTTGTGTTGATATAAATCTACATTTAGAGACATAATAAGCTAGAATTGCAATGATTTGTGCCGTTGTTTGCCTCTAATGGCCAATAATGTTGTGTTAGTCTAACAGTGAGTCGATTGAGTCCTACCTAAAGCCCCATCGCCGCTGAAATGACAAATAAGTATCGGTTGTGTTGTGTTGTTTTGATCCGTTTTTACGAGGAAAGGAAGTTATAATAATCTATTTGTGAGATTCTGTCCCTTAATCGAGTCATTCTCTTAATGACACATCACTTATGCTTTTATTTATGTCTTGCTAACCATAGGGCGCGCCTCCCTTCCCATCCACTGCATTGTGGAGCGGATCTCTTCGCCGGGAACTAATGCGACGGCCGGTCAGGGAGGAGGAGTGGTGGTGGGCGCGGGCGGTTCGCAGCCACCGGTGCCGACGACAACAACGGGTCCTTCATTGGCCACTACCTCATCATCAGCTGCTGAGTCGAGTCCGTCGAGTGTGTGCTCGTCGGCGGTCGTCGAGCAGGACTCGTACGCCATTATACCTACGGGTGTGCTGTTCGCCGATCTCGTGCGCACAGCACTCGCCAAACTGGGCTACTCGGCCGCTGAGACCGTCGGTGCGAAAGGTTTGTTCACTCCATTCATTATCATATGTACTCATAAAGTAATTGTTTTGATTAATAGCTAGTAATTTATGATATATTCTAATGAATACACATTTTCACACTCGACTACTCATTGCTTGAAATGTTGTTTTTTGTGCACTTTTCTCAGCCTTTTATTATTCATAACTCCTTTAATAATCCGGTCTATTGTTAAAACTGGTGGGAGTTTTGCTAAAAAATATTGGGCGTAAACACCACTTATTCCTATTTATTTGACTATTTAGTGCTGTTTAGTAGTCTGTAATGCTCTCCAGTATTGACCCGAATTCCACATTTGGTCCAAAAGTGATGAACACTAATGTATTCTCCGGTCGCAGACAATATTAAGCGCCGATTAAATGGCCTAAACATCTGTTATAAGCGCACAAAAGTGTAATTCCAGTAAAACTGAATTACTTTTCGTGCTCTATCGTATCGTTTCTTTAATTTTGACACTAATGTCCCAATTAATGAGCGCTCAATACTCCCATCCCACCAATGATTATACCTTTCAATGGCTAGTTTTTTCTCATATCTCATATCTGGACAGTTAGTACATTGTGTGTACTGTAACACACAAAACAGTATTTATATTGTGATGCAGTTTATAAAAAGCTTTGAACAGTTGTTAGGATTTTAGGTGTATTTCCAATATAAATAGTGTATATCTAAAGATTAAGAGCGGTTCACAATATAGTGTGCGGAGCCTTAATCCGCTTACACCTGACGTGTGAGTCGTTGTATTGGATGGCATACCTACCAAACCCAGTGTATTGTCTGCTCCAACAGTTTGCTAACCTTTTCTCAAACAGAGAGTATGAATGAATACAATATAGAAGCCATAGTTAATCCGAGCACTTAATCCATCCTTAAATAAAAACAGCACAAAATTCAGCCCTCTTTTCATTGCTGTTTCCATAAGCCGTTCCATCACTACTACACTCATTGAGAGCCATATATACGACTTTTATGGCATTTGATGTGTTTTAGAGCCTATTGTAAAAGCATTTGTGCCTCAATTCGGCTAAAGCCTGGCAGCCATTGCCGTCAGCCCTGCAAAGGGATCACAAAACCTAATCTTCAGCCCAACGTTAATACTCGCGACTCGAAAGCATGCGTTGAATATGAAAACGATTTTTTAGTTTAGTTTTTGGTAGCAATCGATGAAAAGCCGAGCTCTGGATAATTCCCTACTAATTATGGGTAGAATAGGAGTGAGCACTCATCCGATACTAAAACTTTTTTCTATAACTTTGACTACACTTTCAGTTGCAAAGTATATTAACGATTGAAAACTCCTTATATCGTACAGTTGAGTAGTATTTCTATACAATATGTTATATTTAGACGTAAAATGAACGGCAACTGAAGTCTAGCAAACCGTTAATCCTGTCATCATTTGACAGATAGTCATCCAAAGCGCGGATTACGGATAAAATTCTCTCAATTCTGTCTCCTATTGGAGATACGCTTCACAGCATCGGCTCTATTAGGAGCTGAACCTCTGGTGCACCAGAAGGTGGACCAAACCGTAGCACATCTTCAGCTATACGTTGCCTACGGTTTCCTTCTTTGTATTCGTGAGGATTTATATTATTATTATTTTATGTACTCTAATAATGACAGGGATTTAGGTTTTAGGTTTAGAAACAGTATTTATACCCAAATAAAACTTATACTATTGTTATAATCATTATATCGATTTCATAACCAAACATGTCTTTCCTTTTTTGAGTCCCTTTTTTAACGACAAGGCAGACGACAATCCCTTTCCATGGCTTCTCATATAATAATTTTGTTCCTCAGAAATGAGTCCTTTTTTGTTGAGACCGGACTTGAAAGCCATTTGTGTTCACATATATTGATAGACAGCAACACATATACGGTGTGAACAAATCGATCACTTTTATGACGATTAGCTAAACCTCTAATTCATTACGCATTCAAATAACAACTTTATGTAATGTAAGACCAGACGTAACACTCACTCAATGCTTACTTTCGTATTTTTAAACACTTTTTTCTCATTAAAAAAGTGAGAATTTCTTTACGTTCTTATCATTGCGTTCACTAAATACTAAAGCAGTCATCACTCGTACAGTATATCAGTCGCTATTAAATTGCTTTCAAATGAGTTTTTCACCACTGATTACAATTATGTCATTATATCTCCCACTGTCTAAGTGTTTCCTTTCAAACACTTGTATATTTAGATTAGGGAATATTATATCACTTTTTATGAAATACACGACTAATTGTACGAAATATACACAAAACTACTAATCATTGCGAATATGACTACAGACTCTGTAGTACAGACACTGTCAGACATCAACCATTTTTCACTAATCATTGCATTTCCAAGAATTGCATTCAAGTTAAGCACAATATATTTGTCGCGATTAGTATTCCGTCAATGAATATAATTTATAATGATTTTAATTTTTTCTCAAATCAGATATTAATTTTAAATCAGTTATTAGTTGACGTCTAATACTAAATGAGTTTTATTGTACTGTATATACAGTATATTTGAGTCTAACAGTATTAAGCTCATGATATTGAATATCAATAATTGTAGAGAAATATATAATCTCTGTTTGGATCCTAAGACTGAATTACGTCAATGTAATCCAAATGAAGTAATACTTCAAACATATCTAATACTTCCTCTTTTACTTCTGTCTAACTTTACATTACAGTAGATATGCGTTAATATGAGTCAATGGACACGAAAGGCCCCTCATATCCATTTCCACTCAATTATATGCATTTTTATTTAAATTTATTTATTTACACACTTTTCAATTGACGTTATATTTGATGCCAAACGGAAACTACTTATGCATACATTTAATCAATTAATTTCTTATATTGGTATCAAATTATAAATAATTTTAAAGACTTATTGAATTTTTTGACATAAATGACACGAAATTATGACTTAATATATGATTAGTTTTCTGGAGATTAATTTGCAGCTAATTATTTGTTGTAAAACTTCTGGGCCTGAATTTAAATAAATTAATTCATTGGAAAAACTTTTAACTTTCAAATTGAAAATCACATAAATTTAAAGTAAATTTTAAGCCTTTTTCAGTCCATTAAAAAATTTTATGATTTAAAGAATTGATTAAAGACTTTCTTAAAGACTTTATTTTAGATAATTATCGCAAAATCATTCGTTTGCATAAATATAAAACTCTCCTTTTCTTTTGCTTTTATATATATAATAAAACTTATATTTTATGGCATTTAATAGCATTTGGAGAGAAGTTTTTTATATTCATTTAATTCCATCAGTACTTGTGATAGAATTTTCTCGAAATCATTAGTCAAAAAAGGATTGTTAAGTGAATAACAGAAATATGTTTAGCATTTACTCTAATATCGTTAGCTTTTCGGTCTCTCTCTCTCTCTCTCTCTCTCTCTCTCTCTCTCTCTCTCCGTTGGTTAATGTGGTTCTAAAAACTTAATCTTTTCTTACTTTAAGAATAAAAAACTCTTTGTTTTTCTCTGAAATTTATGATTATTTAATAGCATTCAAATGGCATACGTCTGCAGTGAGTGTTGCCTTTCCCTCTCTCTATCTGCCATTCCTACGCATATTTGAAAGCTTTAAACATTTTTTGAGTGAATTATAAGAAGTAAAGCCCAAAATCGACATTAAAATAGGTTTTTCGCACAAATGAGTCGTTGCCTTAAACTTAGTTAACAGAAAAGTGAATACAAAAGAATTGTATATAAAGTTTGCACTCGTTTTCCATAACATACGGAACCGTACTTATAGTCGTCAGAGAAGTTCATCTCAAAGTAAAGTCAAGTTATACTCCATTATAAATATTGAGATTTAAAATCTCTATAATATATATATTTATGAAAATAAAAAGCAAAATTCCCTTTAATTCTGTATCCATTTTTCCAGTCATACAGTTATATAAAAAGGGAATTATTTTATTTTATTTATAAAGAGTGTAGAATCGTATGAATCGTATTCGTATTGTCACAGAATTTGCATTCGGCCTCAAGTAATGAGCCGTCAGAAGGAAGTCTTTCTTAAGCACAGGCTTTGCTCTAACCTTATCTCCAGTCAGTGTAGAAGGAGTGAGGGCTGAGAGCTTAGGAAAGCGGCTTTCAGTGCTAATGCAATGCAAGACGTAAATACTTTCTCTCAAACTTATATCACTATGACTTGTATTCATACATATAGTGTATATATGCAAAAAAGGCTAAAAGCCGGCAAATTTAATGCACAAAAAGCTCATTCAAACACTCCCTTCCCCCCTTTTTACTCCGAAAACTCTTAACTCCAATCTCTCTCTCTCTCTCTCTCTCTCTCTCTCTCTCGCATATCAAACTTAATTCCTTATTTCTATAGTCATTTCAAATACAAATCAATTCTTATATAGTTTTTTACTAACATTTTATTGTAGAACTCTTACGAAATCTACTTTTTTGTTATGAATATATTTTTATTCTCTTATCTCTAAATTAAAATACAGTTTCTTTTTGTACTTTTACTTATGTATTATATTTTAAACCTTTATTTGCATTTTTATTATCTGTTTTTATATTTTATTTATTTTGCATTTTCGTCTTTCTATTGGTTCTAATCTTAAACTAATTGAAGGGAATGTATGAACGCATAGCACCTCATGTTAAACAATACATAATATATTTTTAACTGCTTTTCCAGATAACAAGTAGTCTATAATTTTGTTACAAACCAGTTGTCTTATTACCGCTAATTCTATCCTAAGCTCACATTCCTATGTATAATATGTTGTATTAATTAGTGGTAATCATTATAATGAACGTTATAATGTCAACATTTTATACTTGTTTTCTCGCATTTAACTTATTTAATAGTTTTTCTGTTAGCAATGTGTTGTTAGAAATACTTTATTATTGCTGTTATATTTATATATTAATTTTTTTGTCATGACTAACAAATGTTTTATTTGTATTTTATTGATTGTGTGTATAAATAGGTGTAATTCAGTTGAAAAACTGGAAGCCTTTAACATTGGATCAGATCAGTGATAATACCGACGCAACAGTCGGTGATATTTTGGGTGATATCTCATCTGTGGCTACGCTTCGCATCCGACTCTACAGGTATTACACACTCATTCACACGACTCTTATTGCAAAACAACTTATTTTTATACCATTTTATGTTAATCAACAACATTTCGTTTATTTATACGACTTATCGATAAAAATATATTTTTATATTTTCAATACATTTATATTGAGAGCAAAGGTTTCGCTTTCCAAACGCCTCTTAAACATGATTTTTTATATTCACATTTGAGTTGAAGATTATTCTCAAACCCAATATTAATTTGATTACTATTTAGATATCATAATTGATTAGTTTTATGACAAAACAAATTAATGCCATTTTTTGTTAATAATAATAAGACCAACAAAACAGTAGAGTATTGTAGATGTAAAGCCCCACTGAAAATGCATACAACATGTTAATAGACGTTAACAGAATGTCTGTCCAATTAGGCCACGTATGAACGCGGCTCATGAGTTAAAGGACAAACTGCTGCAAGTCTTACTGGCCAACTCATACAGCCTGCTCACCAACTCCGGCTGTCCCATCGATCAGGTATGTCTATACTTCCCTCCATTGTCATCCATTTCTATCACTTATGTCGCCAACACTTAGCGCGACTGTCTCTGACTTATATTTTTAGTCTCAATTCAATATGAAAAACAAGAATCACTTAATTTATTGCAATTCATTGGCTAATGATTTCTTTTCAATTAACAGCAATTCAATCGATTTTCTTTGCACTCAATTCTCTTTAGTGTTAATCAAAATGAATTGTTTCTCATCTCTAAATCTGATTAATTTTTTCATTATTTATTTCTAATTCATATGCTGTTAGTCGACAAAAATGTCACAATTGTCTATAGAGTGCCTAATATGTGATGTGGATATTTCCTTATATAGCGTATTACAGTATATCTACTTTTATTTATACTGAAATTCATGTTTAGAGAGAATTTATATAAATTAAAAGCCATAAAGAATTTACGGAATAGTTATTCATTGTTTGGATATTTATTTTTTGCCGATTTATTATTTGTTTGAAAATAGTATTTCATTTATTAATACGTTTATAATTTGAAATGAGAAGTGATGTTAACTGAAGCCTATCCTCAAACTACTAATAGGTTTAGGTTTTAGTGAAGAGATATATTTGTTGAGCAAATGGAGAGGTTTTTGATGCAAAAGTTGAGTAATAATTAAAGTTAGAAAATGTGAGATTAAATGCATTTATGACGGAGTGTTGCAATTGATTTGCATAAAAGTTTATGTATTACTAAAACATAACTAAAAATGTAAAGCATCGGAAAAGTTTGAAATTCCCAAAAGTAAATATATTCATGTGTTGTTGTAATGAATACTCTATTCTAGTATAATATCATTACTCAGTCTAAAGGCTTAGTGGCAGAGATGAGACCTAATTTGATTCCCGCAAACATATACACAGACAGACACACAGAACTTAATCTTCATTACGAAGGATTAAAGTCTTGTAGGAATTAAAGATTCCTTTTTGCCAGAACTGCTTCTGTCGGTGCCTTTGATGTATGCAATAGTAATGAGCTTTCATTTCAAAAATGTGCTGCAATTCTGTGATTAAAAATTTTATGTTTAACTCAACGCCTAATTAAAGATTCCTTTTTTCCAGAACTGCTTCTGTCGGTGCCTTTGATGTATGCAATAGTAATGAGCTTTCGTTTCAAAAATGTGCTGCAATTCTGTGATTAAAAATTTTATGTTTAACTCAACGCCGGAGACGCGGACCAAACAAATACCAGTTCTCTCTGTTCTCCGCATTGCCTCTCCTCCAGCTCTCTCTCTCTCTCTCTCTCTCGAATTGATAACTCGTTTCTCTCGTCAATGCAACTCTTTTTGTCGAATAAATGCTTTTAATCTTTAATTTCAGAACTCATTTAATAATTAATGTCATTATTATTCAATAAAATCTCATTATATTCACTGAGAGCTCTCTCTCTCTCTCTCTCTCTCTCTCTTGTAATGTCATTGTATTAACGAAGTATTGAATGCATTGTTTAGCAAATTCTCAACGGTTTGTGTCGGAGTGGAAGAGCGGAACAGGAGATCACGGATGAGATGAGGCGGCGCTTCGATCAGTGGTATTTGCAACAGTTCTTCACTCACTACAGACAAATGGCGATCGCAGCCCAACAGCCCCCACACCAGTCCAACCCCCGCCGCACTCCCACTCATCCGCTACTAATCGACTTGAATCCCGCCTCCAATGGCGACCATTTGCACCAAAATATGGTCAACAATGGGTCCAATCACTCGCCCGACAAACACCCGGCGCTTATGACAATCTCGTCGCCATCTAATAACCAACAGCACCAACACATGGGATCTGTTCGCACCCGTATTCGCACGTCGTTTGACCCCGAATTAGAACTGCCGAAACTGCACCGTTGGTTCTCTGAGAACAGACACCCGTCGAGGGCTCAGGTCATGGAATACGTGAAAGAACTCAATTCACTTGAGTCGAGGAAAGGCCGCAAACCACTGGACATTAATAACGTGGTCTATTGGTTCAAGAATGCCAGGGCTGCTCACAAACGCGCAGAACTGAAGTTCGTGGGCGACCCCAGCGGTGCTGACGGCCTCATCAATGGCAACAGTCCGGGAAAGACCGGTTCGGACACGAGTGGCAAATGCAATGACAGAAACGGGTCGGCAATCGATGACTACTACAGTCTGGACGAAGACGGCGACTCATCCCACGACGCGACCCAAACGCTCGACCTCTCGATGAGACCGTCCAAAAGGGCGCGCTCTGACAGTCCTGATAACGACGGCGATTATGTCATAACAGCCGTCAAACACGACGACGACATCCAAAACGATGTCAACAATTGTAACAATAATTTAATCGTAAACTTAAAGACTGAACAAATGGACCGAAACGACGGCTCCAGTGATTGCAGTGATGGCGACGACAGCGATGAGGAGAAGGAGTACTTCGATAACATGAATGCATTCCCCGCTATGGGACACATGAATAGCAACTCTAATAATATGTCGACTCTTCCGGAATCGCCAGACGGCCGACGCACCCGAAGGAGTCGCACATTCATTGACCCGATGTCTGAGGTATGGACTCTACGATTGTGTCACATATAGAGCATAGACTAATGTGTGTTTGTGTTGATGTGTGGGTACAGGTGCCTCGTCTGGAGCATTGGTTTTCAGTGAACACCCATCCGGCCCACAGTCAGATCGTGCGCTACACCGACGAACTCAATAACTTAGCCTATCGTCAGAAGTTCCCAAAACTGGAGCCAAAGAACATTCAGTTCTGGTTTAAGAACCGAAGGGCCAAATTCAAGCGCAACCTATCGCTGCCGACGACACACCACTCCTCCCAGTCCTCGGCACTCAATATCGAGCGCCTCATTAATGCACATTAAATACAACTATTAATAAGACTTTAATTTTTTATATTATATATAATTAATATAAAATGCTATTTCAAATGAGAGCCTCTCCTCCTAGTCCTCAATCTTATGTTTTAGACGTTTGTTATAATTATTATTATATAATAACTGTTTTTTGAGAATACTATTAATTATTATGATATCTCTATTAGTAATATAAATTGATTGTAAATATTTATATCGCGATTGGGTTTCGGCAATACTAGTAGTTATGGGTATTAATCAATTGATTACACTATAGACATATGAATGAGTAAATGAGTACACAATACACCACTAACTGACCACTAATGACCAAATCAATGAACTCAAAGGCTTTACCATTAATTGCATTCCACTTTATGTTAAACTAAATTATTATTATACAGTAATTGACACTATTTTTAAAGCCTAGTCTTTCCGATCACAACAATCATGTGTTTGTCTATCGTTTGATTCTTAGCTTTTTTTTATGTCTACCCTGTTGTCAAATCTATTGTCAACATTTCGATCAAGTTTTTTAAATTATTATTTTATTTAACACTATGAAAGTATAGCCCAATGTTTTATACTTTATTTTGTCTCATTTTTTATCACAAAGACTTTTAATATAATTTGTAACAACAAATCGATTTTTATATAATTATGAGTTTAATTTAATTTTTAAAGTTTCTATTTATCATGAATTTGTCTCTTTTATAATGATTTTATGTTATTTTTGTAGTTATTATTAGTTTATATTAAATGAAGAAAGCATTTGTTGTGAGGCTTTGTTCCGACGGTTATATTCATTGACTATTCAATGACTGCACTCTTTTATATGACATTATTATTACCATTCGTTTCAATGTTATTTCAAATAAACATTCCTTTCGATTGAATACAATTGTGAATCAATATATGAATGAAAAGCGAAACTTTGCTCTCAATTATCAATAAATTATTGACAATAATATTGCAAATGACTACTAATTCTTACTTTGTTTCAGAATCATTTTTGTTTTATTTAGTTTACATTCAATTTATTTAAGTTTTGTTTTCATTAATTGAGATTTGATTTGAATTCAAATAACAAAACAGGAAAAATTATGAATTATTTAAAATATTGTCATTATATAGGAATTCAAATAAGTTTTATACAGTTAAGCAAAAATGAATTTGTATAGAATAGAGTTAATGAATTAATAGATAAAGTGAATGAACAGGTAATGAATAACTGATTTAATGTGAAAACAATTGTCTAAACCAGAAGTCCGACCGAAATCCGTGAGTGGACTCAGAATACTGTGAGGGAAGCGGTTCTCGAGTTACTGCGAGAAGTATCTCAAAGCAAACTCTCAAAACTGTGCCAAATATCTCAGGTTTGATACATTGAAAGCCAAATGTGAAACATTCAGTTGTATTGACTGTGACTCTGACTGACAGCCGCTTCTGTCGGGTATTGTTAACAACAAATTTGAGGGAAAAATCGGTAAAAAGAAATGCGAAGACTTCGGCAAATGGTATACCGATTACAGGAGAGCACATCCGAGTGAGTCGTTTGACATTTGAATCCATAATGAAATGCATTTCTATATAATTTATGCTTAAATAGAGAGCGCATTGAATACAAAAATGTTTGTTTAAAAGTTATATCTTTAGAGACTTTACAAAAGAGTTAATTAACTTTTATTAATGAGATTATTATAAAAGTATAGAAAATGTATTGTTATTATAATATTTGTGTGCAATTATGTAGCCGTTTGTGGCGTTAGTCCTCACAACCAAAGCAGAGATAATACAAGAGAAGAGGGAAGTGAAGAGAAGGCAACAGATTTGGACACAAGTGTTGCTCAAACGACTCAGACCTGCGAAACGAGATTAACGTTTCATTCATCGGCAGAAGTGCCACAACTTAGACAATGGTTCCGATCTAATCCCAAACCATCCGATCGA